TGTTAAACCAACAAAAAGTCTACTAAAAGTACACTTTTCCGTTCGAGAAGCCTTTATCAAACTTTTTACCCCAGGGAGCCCCTAAAATAATTTCCAGTTCTCAAGGACTCCTGCTAAAACCAATTCATTGGGGGTCAGTGGGAAAAATGCCCCATATCCAGTGGTGTTTAGAATGCCATGCTAACAGAGCTAAAAAGATAATTGGTGCCATGTGGCTGGCTTTGCCAAGTGACATGGGCCTTGAAACTATATAGGCATCATCAAATGGGAGGTAAATCACTGCAAATGACGGAACCATTAGCCACCTGTGGAGAAACCCTAGGGTTCCAGGGAACACTGGTTAGGAATGGCTGCCTTAGAGTGATGTGCTAGACCAGCAGAGTATAACTGTACAATACCCACATAGTCCTAAGGAATGACACAGTGGTCTGTGAAACATGTATGGGGTCCGCCTTCCTCCTTGTTATTACATCTTTGGGCTAAGTTCTTTTGTACTTCCCACCTAATTACTTAGCTCTTAAACTGTATCTAAACCAAATTACAAAAATGTAAGATATTGCAGCTCACAAGTCCTTAGAAGTGGTGGCTGCATTGGTTTTAATTTTACCTGGTAATCCCACCACATAGCAGTTTTTGTACTTGGGTGACTGCTCACCGAGCATGATTTTTGTCCGGAGAAATTAGCTTTCATGTGAACTCGTAGGGTGAGGTGGGGGAATTCTTGTCTCCCAAATCAGATATCTGCTCACATCCTAAGGTGATACCCAAAACCGAGGATGTGAATAGCAACCACATCTTCCTGGTTGCAGTCATTATAATTAATGCTATGTAGCCATTTTAGACACAAATAATGTTTAGCAAAGTTTCACTTCATAGTTTTAACATGTTTTGCAGAGCTCACCCTTTCCGGAGCATAGCATTCCAGAACATCTGCTCTGAAGGATACACCCAGTTTTTATCACTGTAAGCTCGGGGAATTTTAGATTCTTCTCGGGACAAAGACAGATGGAACGGCTGATCTGGGGCTGGGGTCTGATTTGGAGGAGGCATCTGGAAAAGAAAAAAAGAAAAAAAAATGATGAGAATGTATAAAAATAATAAAACAGTTTCAAAGCATTTTCAGGTGAGGTCCATTGATTCTCTAGTGATAAACAGCTGGGACATCCTAAAATGAACACTGACTGCATAGAGAGAAACAATGTAACATCATACCATATTGCTGGGATCAATGTCATCTTTACTGCCCGCTTTCATTGGACACTGAACATACTCATAGGCTCGCTCTTGATGAGCTGGTCCTGAACAGCTCTGGCTCTCAGCATTCTGGGGAACCGCTTTTTGCATTGGACAACCTGAATCTTAAAAATATGAAACCTTTTATTTCACAAAACATAACATTGTATATAGAGACAAGTATAAATAAAGAAATGATATCCAGAGATAAGAAAGATTAAGGAGTCTATTTAAAAAAATGTTCACAGGGTGACTGCCTCTGCGAACGAGATTTGCAGCACATTATGGCCACTAGATGGAGCAGAGGAATTTCCTATGCTCCATCTAGTGGCCATAATGTGCTGTAAGAATATCATTCACATATACATTCGCTCTGCAAATGTTTTATAAATAGACCCCTTAAGGTCATAGTATATTTGACAAGGTTCCCATCAGTGGAAAATGCCTGTCAAGACAATCAGCAGATCCAACAATATACAATCTGTAGGTTAACGATCACTAGAAGGGATCAGAAGATATAAGGTAGCAAAGCGTAGCTAAAGTCAGCCACCGATGCTTCTAGAAAACTGTCACACAGTTTTTAGGGAAAACATTGCTTTGGCAAAGTAAGAAGCTTTGTAACAGATTTAAAAAATAATATTTTCTTACAAAAACTGTATACGGTGAGGCATGATGCCAAACATACTAACAAATAGATTTAGGGTTTACATACATGTAAATGCATTTAGTACCTACTTTATCATGATCAAAATATTTCCCTACCCAGTCTGTGCATCTTTGTCATAATCACAGGCAGTATTACCTTCCGTCTTTTTCTGATGCATTGGACATCCTGGAGGTGGAGATGCTGTAGATCGAGGTGCGTCTGGAACAGCTGCTGATGGCTCTGGTGCAGTAGGGGTTGAAGCAGAAGCACCCATTTTATCTGCCAAAAAAAATTATATATATCTCATAACACGTGAATCACTTTGTACAAAAAAAAAAAAAAAGATATTAATTGGGGTTCTTCCGTGAAAACTTTGCCAGTTTTAGTTGCACAATTGAACATCTAAAATCCACCTCTCAGTCTGGTTCACGCTGAGCATTTTGGAGTGTGTTTTCTGCCCTAAAAAACGCTCAAAAAATCCCATTAATTTCTATGGCCCTGTTCACATCTGAGCGTTTTGTCGCAATAAGCAAAACGCCTGTCGCTGGAAAAAGTACAGGAGCTTTTTTTCAGCATATTACAGCTCGTTTTGGCCCCATAGACTAAATAGGAAACGATTGAAAACGCCCGTTTGCTGTGTTTTTATGCGCGTTCTCATTAACAATCAATGAGTAACAATTTGCTCACAAAAACGCTCTTATTGCCGTATGCACATAAAAAGTGTGTCATAAACGCACAAAAATGCTGTTGCCTAGGTGTGAACCAGGCCTTAGCCCAGGATATTGGATATCCAATCACTTCTTTATATGTAATAGAATGCTCCTTTATTATATTCTCTTTCCCTTCCAAGTCAAACGGACTCCACACTTTAATAATCATATCTGCAATTTTTGTTACCCAACTCTATGTATTGACTGTGTATTGTTTTATAACAACAGTGAGATCACTCCATACACAAACACACACAGAGTCTGATTGTACGATACTGAGGAAACACACTTTATACTGTAGCTTTAATGAATACAAATCAACAAAACGTGTAAACACTGTGGGGGCGATTCAATAAAGACTTTGTGGCACAATTCTGGCATTATCACTGTATCTTGAACTCTTGTGCCAAATTTATAAAAGGTTGGCAGCATTTCCATTGTTAATACCGATGTGTACATATTTGAATTCTTATTTGCAACACTTTCTTATATGACGCTATTGCTGCAACAAATTTATTAACAAATTCTGCCATTTTGGAGTGAAGAAAACTGAAAGTAATTAAAACCATTGATATTAAGTAAAGCAGGGCCCCCTGCACCCTCCTGTTACTGGTTGCTATGACGACACCGGCTGCACGGCCTCCTCGGTCGCTATGACGACACCGGCTGCACGGCCTCCTACCGCGATTCGCGGTAAAAAAGTCACGCGACCGCTGCGCGTTTCCGAAGGCTACTTGGCTGTATCCCAATGGAAACGCGCAACAAAACGGCCCAAAGTAGTACATGTACCTTTTCAGGTACATGTTTTGTAGCGCGTTAGGGACGGGAGGAAATACGCCAAGGTGGGAACGAGACCATTGAATACAATGGGATTTATATTTTTGAGCGTTTTGTAGAGCGTTCGTCAAGCGTAGAACGCGCTACAAAACGTTCAGGTGTGAACGAGGGCTAACAGGTACATGAATTTGGTGCAAGCATCTGCATTTTTCATGTGGAGGGGAGACACAGGGCGTATCTTAAATGAATGCACTTATGTTATGGTCACTAATAACCACATTGAGGGGATTTTATCAAAAGCAGACAGAATCAGAAGCAGTAACCCATAGTAACCAATTACCTTCTCTCTTCAGTTAAGCTTTGAAAATGAAAGGTAGAAGCGAATTGGTTGCCATGGGCAACTGCTAAAGTTTCAGTCAATTCCCCTCACTGTGTGCGATGTGGTGCAGACAACCCCAGTGTTTGCACCTGATCCTCACAGTATAAAATGGCAGAGGTTAGGGATAACCTCTGCTACAGAGGCAGCAATTACTGCATATGGCCTGACCTGCACATCTATTTACTGCACCCAATGGTGGAAACCTTTCCATAGAAATGAATGAGGATTCTAACACGCGGCCCAGGCCCGTATACTTTTCATTACAAGGCTGTGTTGTAAAGCAGCATTATGAATGTGGTAAGGCCATACTACTGCTGTATAAAGGGGCCCCTAAGTCCAAAAACCCCTCTTTCACTATTGAAATATTACAAGATTATTAAACCCTGACTTTTTTGCATATATCTACTGCTAGCAAGCAGTAGATATATGCAAAAACATAAAATAAAATAAAAAGTTAACAGGTTAAAACTTACCTGGGTCTACGCCGCACACTCCCGTCCGACGATCTAAAGATTCTCAGGTGGCCGCAAAAGGATCATGGGGCGAGCGCATGCGCAATTCAGATCTTCGGCCGGGAGACGAGGAGAGACGCAAGGTATGTCGATGGAGGCAGCATGCACAGACTCGGTGGGACAAGAAGTGCCAGGAAAAGAGGAGTCAGCGCTGGATCGGAGACCAGCACCAGCACTGGAGGAACTCCTGAAAACTACAGGAAAGAAGATTGGATAAGGAGGCATCATTCCTTACATTAGCATAGGGGGATGGAAAGGATAATTGCCTTTAATGTCACTTTAAGCTGGCCATACACTGGCAGCTGTTTCTTGTTGAGCCTTGCAAATGCTTGACTCCCCATCTGAAGCCTGTCTGTGCCAGAAATATGGAAGGTATTAGACCCTCTAGACTTACAGTAGTATTAAACTGTCAATATTTTTTCAGTAATAAATCCAGATCAAAAAAATATTCCATTAGACATCATCAGCCCCGATGACATTACATTACATCACATGACTGTGTCAATGTTATTGTCACAGCAGTTATTTAACCTCATGACAACCTTCTCATGTGTCCGGGCGGCGGAGAGCCTGATGTGTCCTGTAAAGGTCACAGCCAGGAGCCGTCATATCCCGTGTTCGGACACAATACACACACATCTCACGATGCTGCCGTACGGGTTCTACATACCGTTCTCCCGAGCGCTGGTCCTGTCCGTTATACACACACCGAACCCTCAACGGGCAGGGGTAAACCCTACTACACGAGGACGGGGCGCACACAAATGACGTCACCCACAGATGGTGGAACGCATGCGTGTCAAGCCTCGCTATGTCGGTTGCTTAGGTGACAGATTCTACCCCGCCTGGATGTTGTGCTGGGATGTCAGTGTTTTATAATTAGATATATGTAACGTGTTATTTTCCGGCTTAGTTTTCTCTTCAAATAGAATGGCGGTGATAGACTGATGTTTTCTAGCCTACCACGTGACTTATTTAAAGGCAACACAGCAATATCGTAATATAATTAATTATTTGAATAAAAATCACAAACCAAAGCTCCTCCAGTCAATTGATTTAGTGAGCTATCAAACCATTTCAAAATACCTAGTGCATTGCGATGTGCTGCGTTAGGGGAATCCCTAGCTTTGTTGCCACTGGAGGTGGCAGTGGGGTGCCACCTTAGCACAGTGCCCTGCCAAGTTCCTGGCAATCAGTGACGTCACTGGTTGGAGGGATCCCGCCGAGCTCCTGGCAACATGCCTGCTAGAGTGTCCTAGGTTGCTGAGAGCTGGGCTGCGAAGAGATGTGTATGGCCCTTACACATCTCTCTGCCCGGCTCATAGCAACCTGGGATGCTCTGGCACAGGGGTGGCAAACTCAAATTCATCAGCAGTATGGTTACCCTCAAAGGGCCGGTTGTATAGGACTATGCATCTACTCTTTATTATAGTTGCCTCTGCATTCAGTTGCTACTGGTTTTAATAATAATTTAAGTAATAACTAGCCTTGAAAACAGAAGCCTAGGAAGAATAACAGCAAGCAGATATTCAAATGTACAATTTATTAAAACTGTGGGTGGATCTCCTGTGTTATCAGTACTTTGCTTTTTTTTTTACGATAAACTTTAAAATAGCAGCACACAGTTTATTAAGAAGAGGCACAGAACGCAGCCCGCTGGATGGGGGAAAAAAACTGCCCCAAAAACTGCCAGCAATCTCTGCCACTATGAACATTCAGTGGCATGCAAAAAAGCCGGCATCGCTGGCTGGAAGGACTGGGGAAGCGGGGTGGAGGTGGAGGCGGGCACCAGAGCGGCATTGTAAGCCGTCATGGCTGCAGAAAGAGAGGAGGCAGCGGTGGAGGTGGAAGCGGAGACGGAGCGGCACAGTAAGGGGAATATGTAATGCCTGCTCAGACTGGCCGCGCCGCTCACTTGCTGAAATCCCAACCTGGCAAAACGGGTGTGGAAATTTTGGAAAAAACTACTTGTCCAAGGACTAAAGCGGGGGCCGAATCTACTTGTCCTTCATGACAATCTACGTGTCCTGATACAAAAAAAATAATTTTAACCAAAACCGTGTTTAGCAGTGCTAAGAAGCGCTTCTCATTGGTCAGTGCCGTCAGGTGACCGCGTTGACCAACGAGTGCTTGCAATTTGCGAGCGAAATTCAGAATACATGGAACAGGTACAGATAGTACACCCGTACTGGTGGAGGGGGAAGGACCGTTCGCCGAAAGGTAAGTATAGTGGGAGGGGGATTTGTGCGGGTAATTCCGTTTTCCCAAATTACTTGGGAAAGTGAATTTAGCCTTTAGGGTGGGTGCAGACCTGCGGATTCCGGGGACGTGCGATCGTGTGCGGTAGCCTCCGCATGTAAGGGGTTACATCTGGGTGGCAATCGCTGAAAAAAAGGAACATGTACCTATTTTCACGACATGCACCGCGCAGTGTTTTCAACCGTGATTGCTGGAGGAAAACGCGCAATCTGCCTGGCACGACTGGGGTGCCATTAGAAAATAATGGCACTGACAGCACGATCGGCGATGGTGTGCACTTCCGTGACCACCCAGCCATCCGCTCGGTTTCGTGCACGATGACCGGGCAGTCACAGATCGCACACCACCGCCAATCGCGCTGGCAATGCCATTATTTTCTAATGGCACCCCAGTCGTGCCAGGCAGGTTGCAGCGTTTTCCGAGCGGTAGCACACAATCGCAGTTTATTCACATGCAGATGGGGCAGCGGGACTGGTTTTCATTTTTTATTTACTTTGTAAAAAAATTTCATTTGTTTTATTATTTTTACATTTTTATTTAGTTACATTTTTAACTATTTATTACTTTTTTTAACTATTCTTTTTTAAACTATTTCTTTTTAAACTATTCTTTTTAAAACTTTTTTTCTTAAACTTAACTGTG